TTTGGGTCCACTCTAAGCCTGGCCTGTCTCTTCTCAGGGTCTGAAACCTATGACATCTACTTAGGCCTCTCTTCCAAGCAAGGCCCCAGGCCCCAGGGCTTAGGACAGGGTACGCGTTGCCGGAGCCACCCTTGGGCCTACTGCTGGCCCCAGGTGGAGGAGCTAGGAGGCTGCTGCGGGCTCGTGGACGCCTGGCAGGAGGACATGGTGTTCGGTCCATGGAGAGTGACAGTGACCCTGAGCAAGACAAGGCACCATGAGAAGAAGCCCCCGGGACCCCCAGCGTCCCGCGCCCCTCACTTCTCATCCCGCCGTCCAGTCCTTGTTCACCTGGGAAGCTGATTCCAGGCCACGTCTGCCTCTTGGCAGGTGGGAGGCAGCGCTTCATCCAGCAGGGCACTGAACCCAGCGAGGGCTAGAGGCACACAGGGCCTGGCTGACCTCGAAATACACATGTCCCTTTGCCTCCAGGCACAGGCGGGTGGGCAGGCCCCAAGCCACATAAGTGGTTTTAGGCCCCATTCAGGTTTGTTCTGTGGGCCAGCTCCCAGCAGGGCAAGACTTGAACCCAGGACAACATGGGTTCCGAGCCTGTGGCCTTCTCTCTGCATCAGCACCGTCTCAGACCTTTAGACTTGGGGAGCAGAGTGGTACTGAGCCAACACCCCACACCCCGGGCCTCAAGTGGTTCCCTTCTTTTTAAACTGGACATGGAAGGGAAATCCAGCCCATCTGCTCCCAACTCTAGTGCACATAATTCATCAAAACGTTCCTCAGTTGGATTTATATGAAACTGAAAGCCCAAAGAGCTGCTCTTCCTTGGAGGCAGGAAGTGGACCCAGCCAGCTCTGACCGCACAGAAACTTGGGGAGGTCCAGATTGTTTCCAAATTAGAGAAGGGATGTTCGGGTGAGCTCTCCACATGGGATAACGGGGCAGGGACCAGGGAAGTCTGGCACAGGGAAGTTAGGGCCCTGGGCTCCCCTCAGGGGGTAGCGTCCCAGGAGGACAGAGGCACCATTCTCCATGTCCTCAGCCCTGCACACTAGGGCAGGCTTGAAGAGGCACATGGTGGCACCAGCTCAGTGACAGGCAGCACTGTGGAGCAGCGTCTGTGGGCCAGCACGGCTCTTGGAGCGTTCCATGAACTCTCCCACACTTCTCTGGCAGTGACAGCCCGGAGGAAGCAGCATTGCTTTCTGCCAGTGTGGACACAGGCCCGAGGTCACCTAGCCCACGAGCCCAAGGTTCCAGAAAGGGGGCTCTTGACCCCCTACCCAGGAAGGTCGGGCCCCAACGCTGAGGGGTATGTGCATATCAAGGGACAGGGGCATCTGGCCTCAGCCATCGCCACATGTGGGAAGGGACCCTGCAGCCTCCACAGCCCACACTTCCTACCTCCGTCCAGTTCTCAGAGGGGTGCCCTTGGAGCTTGGGTTGCAGGTGCCTTCTGGAGCTGGTCTTGGTCCTGAGCAATAGGGACCCGTCCTGGGCGGGGTCCTGAAGCGGCATGCACAGGGAACCCCTCGGGCCTGTGGCACAGGAGGATGCATTCCCTGGGCCTGGGGCAGGACCAGCAGCAGCAGCGCTTCCGCTGGCTCTGGAGCCCTGCTGAGACAGGGACCTCGCTCCCAGGATGAGTGGGGCGCAGCTCTCCCCAGCTGCTCCCATGGAGAGGCACGCGGCAGGGCGCATGGGCAGTGAGTCTGTGGCCCTGGGCTCTGAGGCCAGGTGCGGGTGCCAGGCAGGCCTGAGGCAGGCACTCCCTCCTGGTGGCCGTCTCTGCTCCCAGCCGCAGAGACACACACTCACACACACCTGCGCTCACCTCTCGACTGCGTGTTCCTACGCTTCTAGGAGCCCTCGCACCCTGATTGAAGGGCCCAGCCTGGGGACCCATACCCGGTGCCCTGCAGTAGGTCCAGGGCAGGGGTAGCAGGCACAGCCCCCTCACATGGTGGGGACAGTCGACATGACAGTCGACATGTCCCCCAGCTGCCCCTTATGTTATCGGTGTGAAATGAAGACAGACACAGGTGCGCCTCAGCCCTGCCGTGGGCATTTCTCCTTCGCATGGGCTCCAGCGTGCACAGCGCGGGCCGTGCACAGGGAAGGGCTGACCGCCCCTGCCCGAGCGGAGTGCAAAGCAGTGTGCGAACACCTCCGTGGTGGGCCCGTGGGCCCCGTCCCATCCATTCGCCCCAAAAGCGAGGCTCATGATGTGACACAAGCGCATTGCTTCTACCTGTGCAAGGTTTTTGCTCCTTCACTAGTGCACACTTACCCCGAGAACATCAGAAAATGCAGATGGACAAAAAGAAGGCCCCAGGAAGGCACCCACACCCCCGTGGCAGCCAGTGCACACATCGCTGTGTGCCAGGCTCCGGGCAGCCTTCCTGGCACCGCCTGCCTGCGTGCTCAGCAGCCTGGCCGCCCCCCACAGCCCTTCCCTGCCCTTGTCCCAGTCACCAGCCACTGAGGGAGCCAGGAGCCAGAGCCCCTGGGACTTCTCTGCCACCCAGTCATTCACCCTGCATCCAACCCTCCTGTCCCAAGTTCTCCTGCTTCTCTGAGTCACACCCCACAGACACCCTTAGAGCTGAACTTTCTCACACATTTCACCTACACACAAGTAGATTTTAAAATTAACCTTGCTCCAAACACTGCAAATGCGAAAGAGAGGGAAATAGGGAAGGTGGAGCTAACAGCATGATTGGTCCCCTGTGGGGGGCTACGTGACAGGGCAGCTGTCCCCAGGACTTCAGGCTGAGCCTGCACACTCAGCCAACGCTGGTGGGGAGGGCTGCAAAACAAAACAGGAGGGTCTGGGCTGAAGCTCCGTAGTAGATCCCTACTGGGTGGGCAAGGTCCTGAGTTCTAACCAACAGCACCAAACAGGAAGTCCTGCCCACAAGGTGTCCCACCCACAGGAAGTTCCACCCCCACGTGACATCATGCAGTATGGCAGCCTTGAACAGGAACTGAGAACAGCTAAAAGTGTAAACTACCTACTTGACTGCGGTAGTGACAATCAATGGCGTGTAAGCATCTCAGTGCTTTTTATGTTATTTTGGATATGCTGGGCAAAGTATTTTAAGAATACCTGTCCGACCTGTTTCTTTTGTGATTGCTAGACAATTTAGAATGATGTAAGGGTCTTGATTTAGATTTTGTTAGACACCACTGATCTAACCTTTTTTTTTACACACACAGAATGACTAGCACCTTTGGTGGAGCGCTGGTTTTCCTTGCCCCTTTGATCTCACAGCCCTGGGAGGTTAAAATGCTCTCATTTGCATTTTATGGCCAAGGTTGCAAGCAGCCCAGCCTCTGGGAAGCCTGCCGTGCAGCAGCAGGCCTCTGGTGAGTCAGGCTTGGTCAGGAGAGAGAGCCTACGGGTGGCAGCTGGGGCCCTGCTCCAGCCAGGCTGCCGGCTTTGAAGTGCACCCAGCCTGCAGACTCACAGGAGTCTGCACTTCCAAGGGCCGCCTGGCTCCGATCCCATGAGACCAGGACAACTGGGAAGGCAAAGCTGCCGCCCTTCATCCCGTGGCCCTTGTCCTCCAGGCCCACATTGCCGCCACTACCCTGGCTGCCCAGGAGACTGGGGCCAGGAGAGAAGGGGCTGCCTCTCTGCTCCCACAGAGCTGTTTCCATTAGGCATCTGTTGGCAGGAACATGTCACTTCGGAAGATGGATGTTGGCTTTGTCCCATAAGTCCTGAGACCTCGGAGCCAGAGGTGGCCCTGAAAGGCCCTTTCTCAGTAAATTATTGCATTTATTTAGCCCTTGAAGGGTTGTATACAGAGCCAGCCTGTGCGCTGAGGTGGCCGACACAGCCACTTCTTTCCGGACGGCCTTGGGGTGAGGTGGGGCTGCCCTGGGCTGGACTCTCCACTCAAGGCAGTGCCCAGTGCGGGGCCAGGCTGGCTGAGTCCCCAAGCCCCTGCCTTAGGGCATTTGCTTAGGAATCAGAAGCACATCTGGTTACTCTCTCCTCTCCTAGTCCAATGCGGTGTCAATAGCACATATTCACTTAGCTGTGGCACAACGTGTGGTAAGGGGACACAGGCCGGGATGGCCCCAGATGGCCTCCTAATGGTCCTCGTGTGCGTTGCCAGGTGCCCACCAGGTGCTGGGTGTGCTCAGTACAGCCCCTCAGCTCAGATTCCTGCTTCTTGCTTTCCCAATAGGAAACAGGGAGGAGACCCTCAGATACCGCAGCCTCCGAACTGGACAGGACGGTGGCCCAGCAGCTGGTGATCAGGGACAGCAGGGCAGGCACCTACACTGCGAGTGTCACGTTGGCCAAGAATGGTGCCAGGTGTAGGGGGGCGACTTATAATGCCACACTCTGGGCAGCTGGGGCGGGATTAACTCTGGGCCCAGCCCAAGCAACTCAGTAACTTAATCTCAAAATTTTAAAAACTTAAAAAGGGCTGGAAGTATAACTCAGTGCAAAGGCCCTGGGTTCAGCACTCAATACTTAGGAAGAAAAGGAGAAAGGAGGAGGAAGGGAGGGAGGCGGGGAAGGAAGGAAGGAAGGAAGGAAGGAGGAAAGGAGGGAGGGAGGGAGGGAAAGGTGTAGAAGGGGAAGGCAGGGCAAGGATGGGAGAAAAGACGGCAGGACAGCATCCTGGCCACGGATAGGCCCCCCTGCTCTGCAGGTGGAGTGGGAAGTGACGCAGCCCCAGCAGGACAGCCCGGCTCTTCTTCAAAGCATTCCACCCAGCGTGAGCCTGGGAGCAGGAACCCCAGCTCATTCCCAGAATGGAACACAGCAACTGAACAGAAGTAAGGGCGCAAATATCCACCATGTCACCAGGACTACTGATAGCCCAATGACAGCGCCCACCTGGAATCCGTCCAGGGCCGGGCGGGCAGGCCCGGGGTGTGTGTCGCAGAGCGGCATGGGGCTGGAAGGGAAGGCTGAGGGCACGCAGCACAAAGAGCTTTGCAAGGCATTTGGGGAGTGAACGAGGCCAGAAAAGATTCCACATGACATAATTTCACTTGCGTAAATTGTCCAGAACAAGCATTTCTACAGAGAGCAAAAGGACAGGCGTCGCTGGGGCTGAGGTCCACAAGGGAGTGCAGGGCCGACCCCAAGCCCACAGTGACCCTTCGCCTTCACAGCGTTCACCTCACGGCACCTTTGTCGCTCCTGTGTGCAAAATAAAAATACAACAAAATGTTATCCTGGGCCGGCAGAAAGCCTTGCCTGGGCCGTGGCTCAGAGACTGACTCCAGCTGCAAGCTTCCTTGTACTGCTGGGACACATGGGGTTCGCCACCTTTCACTGTATCAGGCGGGGGAGCCTTACTTTTCTCCCTCAGGGGACACTTGTGACCGACAGCTGCGGCTTGGTGTGCCTGAGGCCAGACTCCCGGTGCCCTGGAGCAGTAAGAGGAGCCCTGCCTCTCTGGGCTTCGTGCAGCCACGTCTCTCCCCGGCGGCGGCAGGCTCTCGGATGCCCCTTCCCCTCCGCCCGCTCCCTGTCAGGTCTTGACAGCAAATTCCAGCAGGCAGCAGAGATGGATGAGAGAGGGTGGCCTCCCATGCCTGGAGCTGCACTGGGGGCTGGATGCTCTGCAGAAAGAGCGCCCGCTCCGCCATGGTCGTGAAACTCAGCGGCCCCTGCCTGCTGTCTCTCCACTGAGGGATTTAGAGACCCTTGTGCGGACCCGGCGCAAAAGGAAGACATCAGAAAGTGAACGCTGCTATTTCAGAATCAAATTGATGACCGGAATTCTCTACTCCTTAAAACAGCCAGAAAATAGTTAGAAGTCACAATGCCCAGGGCCCACAAATGCAGAGAGAAACAAGTGTGCCTTGCCAATCCGGACAGATTTCACTGGATTTACACCCTTTCCCCGGGGCCGGGCTGGTGACAGATGCCAGGGGTTTGGAAAGCGTCGGCACCTTTGATCTCTAACTCCTCGATTTGAGATTTACTGAAGGAAAGAAGCAGGCTGGCTCCCACAGGGTCCCGCTGAAGGGTTGCATCTGCCACGTTATTTACAAAGGGAATTTCAGCAACCACCGAAGTGCCGGCAACTGGGCTGGCTTCAAAAAGCACAACGAACCTGAACCTAGGGCAGGCTTGGGACCCCGTCCTCACCCGGCAGCTTTCACCGTTTCGTTCTCCAGCAGAATTGTCTCCTCTCTCCGGATTTTGCCACCCTCATTTCCTCAATCAGATGCAAATTTTCAATTTTAATGTATGTATGTTCGCAAATAATATTTAAAGAACTGCAAGTATTACATTATAAAATAGTAACGAGAAAATTGCAAGCCTATATTATACATACAATAATTAAAACTGTGATTAACACACACACACACACACACACACATACACACAAAATAGATGAAGTAGCTAATCTCATGGTGACTGGATTATAGTTGATCAGCAAATAATTCCTTTAAATTTTCCATTTTGAAATAAACTCCCTCAGCATTTCTAGTGAATGTTTCATTTAACAACAAATATGTTGCTTATTTCACAGTTGGAATAAACTTGTTCTTAAAAGCTTCACACAGCCTCATTGGGAAAGTGGAGCTCAAGCCCCAGCCCAGAGGTCGTCAGAGGCCGTGGCCCTTCCAAGTTTCAGGGGGTGGGGATGAGGCAGGGGCTCCTGGAGAGGGGACCTGGGCTCCTCTCAGCAGAGTGGTTCCCTCCCTGTCCTGAGTGGGGGTGGAGCAGCAGCCTGGGGCAGTGAGGTCAGTCCCTGCCGTGCCCCTGGGAGAGCCCTGGTGCCGACTTGCTGGCTGTCCCCGTGCCCCGCGTCACTTGCCCTCTCGGCAAGCTTCAGTTTGCCCCACTGTGTGAGGAGGGGTCTTCAGGCCTACTCCAGCACCTGTCACTGGTGCTGTCGAACAGCCGAAGGTGCTGCCCTGCATGCTGGCTGCCCCGTAACAGTCAGCCTGTCATTTTTTAGATCGATTGCTTTAACTTTGCTAATTAAATACTGGAGAGGGAAACTCTGTGGTGCTTGCAAATGGAAAAGAGTTGCCCACCAACGTACTGGCACAAGTCAGAAGCGTGCTGTTGACTTCCAGTGTTGCTGCAGCCCGACTCCCAGAGCCTGTGCTTGCCAGGATAGCAGCCAGGAGGAGGACAGGCTTGGGAAGAGCGCTAGCACTCTCACTCACAGCACGGGAGTGGGACTGACAAGCCAGCCAGCGTCCATCCACCCTCCATCCCCACTCAGCAGCAGCCGGTGGGCTTTCATCAAGCCCAGAACAATGGAGGTGTTAAGCTGTTTGTTATTTCAAGTGAACAGAATTAGCAAGGAGCTCAGGCGGAGACCGGCACCAGCCTGCAGAAATCCAGCCTCTAAGTCAAGTGAGGCAAATTGGCGTCCAATCTCCTGTTAGCGAGGACATTCTTAAGCACTGAAAGATCACAGGCCACGAAGGAGCGCAGAGAGCAGAGGCCAGGGCTGGACACCGGGAAGCCGAGTTCCATCCCCTGGCCCAGCGCCCTGGACTTGGGCCTGGAGCCCTGTCACCTCGTGTCGCCTCAAGCCCCGCACAGCCCTACAGGTGGGGCCAGGGGAGGTAAAATGCTCTGTGGGGACGCATCGCCCACTTCTCCATTTAAAAATATTTCCCACAAGCTGTCACATCAGACACTGGGAGCGCACAGTGAGCCCTGCAGACCGAGCCAGTCACCTCGTGGGACAGACACTGGGACGGGCAGATGGCAGGCTGAGGGCTGCCACAGTGAAGCGCTTGCAGGCCAGGAGAGGAGAGGGCAGTTCTAGAGCCCTCAGGCCAGTCTGCAGGAATGAAAAGTTAGGCTGGTCCACATAGGGGCCATGGTGGTCACAGCAGGTCGCAGCTATGTGCAATGTCACCAGGGGCAAATTAGACGAAGGAGACATGATGGTCCCTGTCCCTCTTCGGTCCAGTTCTGCCGCCTCGGGGCCACTGCTGAACCCATTCTGGTATTTGTGACAGGCTGTCTCTGCCTCAGTGGGCCCATCAGCAGTGGACACAAAAGCACCGCCTGCTTCTGAGGACCATGGCCACACTGGTGACAGAGCCAGGAAGCCACTTGCTTAGACTCCAACGAAGGCCAGCTCTCCCACAACGGAGGCAGCCAGGCTGTGTCTCAGCCCTTCTGGATTTTTAGGCTTTGGTCTTGTTTAGCCTGCTGCATTTACTGAACAAGAGAAGCCCTGGGTGGAGGAGACCAGGGTGGGGGGTCACTCGTGGGCTGGTCCCAGGTTTGCTACCAGAATGCTGAGGAAGCAGGGCTGTCCGCTGTCTTCCAGCCCCGAGCAGCCAGGGACGTGGCAGGTGTGGGTATCTCGGAGTTTCTGCTTCGTCGAGGACCAAGCCAGGTGTGCCGGACAGGATGTGCACGTCTGCAGTGTAGAAGCAGAGCCAGGAAGCTTCGGTCTCAGCTGCTCCGGCCAGGGCACCCAGGAAGGCAGCACGCAGCAGGCTCCGGAGGGCTCTCTGCATGCTCAAAGCTAAAGGAGAACGCGTGAAGTGGCAATGCCAGCTTCTCACTCTGCTGGGGGGAAGGTTTACTGGTAGCACTGTCTGGGGCCGGGGACAGCAAGGGACACCCAGGCGGACGCCCAGGGACACAGCAGGAGCCAGCACTGTCTGCAGCAGGAGAGAGATGCCAAATGGCAAAGGGACAGTCACACCTGGCCTGGAGCCCCCGCAGACCCATCCATCTTCCCATCCCCAGGGCCTGCTCTCTCTCCAGGCCCTCCCTTCTCCCCACGGCTGTCCTCCCCGCCCCACCGTGCCCCCATCCTGAGTCCCAGGCAACTGCGCCAGGGTCCTGCAGACACGGCCTCCTTCCGGCTTCGGCCCATCCTTTGATGCCAGAGGTGTAAGGTGCTCAGCCAGGGCAGGGAGGGGCGCACAGGCTCCGCAGTGGCTGCTGATTGATTGCAGCAGCTCTGGGCCCTCCAGCTGCAGGCCGGGGCTGGGGGGAGGGGTGGGGACACACACAGCGCCCACCCACCTGCAGCCCCCACCAGCTCTGAGAGTGGTGCAGAGTGAGCCTGCTGACAAGGACCTTACAAGGTCCCTAGTTTTTGGGTGTGGATGCCAGATTCACCTGGCAGGCAGAGGGCCCAGTGCACCAGGTCCTGGGTGCTGCAGGCCCATCCACTCCCTGTCCTTCCTGAGGGCCCTGTCACTTGGAGTTAAGAGTGGCATGCTTGAGCTTAAGAGCTCTGGTCGGATGGGGACCACCACCCTAGGGTACTGCAGACAACCTAGGGTACACCTGGAGTGAACCTGGCCCCTAGAGGGCGCCGCACAGAAGCCAGCTTGCCACTCCATGCTCAGCATGAGCCACCAAGCCCCAGAGGTGCTGCCCAGGGCTGCTTCCCCTGTCAGGGTCAGTATGCATGTTGGAAACCTCCCGGCTGGAGACCAAACAGTTCTCTGTGCATGCAGAGGGAGGACCACAGTTCCCAGGCAGGGCCCCAGGGAGAGCCCGTCTGTGGATACGAACTACAGGGTAGGAACTGGTGCTGACAAGTTGAGGCCCTGTGCTGGGGTGGTCTGCGGGGTGCGTGTTCCCTGCCTTCCCTGCCAGGTCAGATGCTGAGTCATCTGACAATGAAAATTGGAAGTGAATAAAAAATATCAACTTGCATGTTTGTCTTCATAAAAGTATTTGAAACTTTTATTCTGTTATTTTATTTTATAAGGTACTGGGAATTGAAGCCAAGGGTGTTCTACTATCGAGCACCATCCTCAGCTCTTTGAATTTTCTACCATGAGACCAGGTCTTACCAAGTCACTAAGTTCCCCGGGCTGGGCTCAAACTTGCAGTCCTCCTGCCTCAGCCTTCCAGAGTGCCTGGCTTACAGGGCTCATCAGAACACCCAGCTTCAGCTCCTGCTCTAAGGATGCTGTTAAGTGTACAGGAAGGGAGATGCTGTCATCAGGCTTCCCTGCAGCCTGGGAAGATCCTGGAGAGGCTCTTTCCTGTGGCCTCATGTCCAGAAGAAAAAGAACCAGCTGGGTGCACAGGAGGTGTGCTGGGTGTTGGGGGACACACACCCAGCACAGGAGTGTCACCGTCCTACTTCACAGGGAGAAGACAAGGCTGGCCCAGAAGCAAAGCAGAGCCCACAGGCATAAATGTCCACTCCTTGGCCTCCAAGGAGCCCCAAACCCCAGCTCTGAACTAAAAAATGAGGTCAATGCAGGATTCCGTGTCCAAGATGAGTCCATTTCTTTTGAACCAAGACACCTAGCATCCTTTAAATAAAACTCAACATATAAATATCGTACGGCCATCAGGGAGTGGGCGTAGGTTTGGCCAGGGCACGGGTCAGGGCCGCACCGCAGCACAGCAAGGGCACACTCGGCCCCACGCGCGGCCCTCTGGGCTCCAGCAGGCCCCAGGTCCCCACACTCGCCCAGCTAGGGATAAACATTATGGCCTAGGCCGATTGTCCTGTATGTATGATGAGCATTAACAGCGCAAATGGCTACCTGAGGACCCTTCCTGCTTTCATTTTACACGCACAGGGAGAGAGAAGTCCTTGTGAAAAGAAAAAATCAGGCTTTCACGGCTGGGACAAATCCGAGCGCCGCCAAGCCGCCAGGCGTGCCCTCAGCCACATTTCTCATATTGGGTTCAGCGTGCTCTCCAAAAGGCACTTGCTGTTTGAGACACATTAAACAAGCTTTATTTAATAGCGCTCAATTTGACGTCTCCGATTTAAGTCTTTGCTCTCATCAGCAACCATTCGATCCTGTTTCATTTAGGGCTGAAGAATGTTTTTTCTAGGTTTCTTTTCCTCGGTACCCGGCTGGTCCTGGAGGCAGGGAAGGAGCCGGTCTGTGCCAAGGGCAGATGGCTGGAGAGCCTGCCCGCCTGTCCTTGGGTCCATCTGCCTGAGTCTGATCAGTAGAAGCACTTGTTTTTAAAATACAGACCCAGGATGTGAAGAAATTGCCCAGGAAGGGAACTCCGTTGGGCTGTTTTCTGCCGTCTGCACTTGGCCTGTCCCGCGCTGGGAGACATTACAGCCCGTGTCCACACCAAGCGGAAAGCCGGCCGGCCCGGGTCAGGGCTCCAGGACGCCAACAGTGAGAGGCAGGCTTGCTTTGGGCTTTCATTCAATGCATTTTAAAAGTGGAGTTGCCATTTGTTCCTACTGACTTTGGGGACAGCCCCTACAGTTCTTCTGATTGCTTATTACTATTGTTATGACTGTACTAACAGAATTTTAAAAACCAAAACTTCAATTTGATCTTCCCACACCGCCTTCACAAACAGCTGCACTGATGTTCCTGGCCCAGCCGCCCTTGGGGACCACGAAGCCAGTCCGAGCACAAATGCCAGTGCCCGCACTCCTGCTACCCGAGCCGGGTGGAAGCCGGAACTGGGCAGCCCCTGTAAGGGGCTTTGCTCCCCGATCGAGAGGGGTCTTTGGGGAGACAGGGGTGCAGGCCAGAGCCTGCTTTATGGCCCCAGCAGAGGGAGGACACACCACTGTAGCCGGGCAGCTCTGTCCGGCCTCCAGGTTTACAGCGGGTGATTTACAGCCCCCAGGTGTCTGGAGCGCTGGGCTCGGCGGAGCCGACTCGGCCAGCCGCTGCAGTGAACGGGGAGGTCTCCGCATTTTTCTATTCATTAGCTGTTCAGCGATCAAAAAGAAATTTTATTAAAAAAAGAAAAAGTCAGGCCGGCCGGCCCGGAGCAGGTTCCTCTCCTGAGCTTCTGAGGCTTCGCTCAGCCCGGGCTCCGTGCCTTCCCGGACTGGAAGTGCCGGTTTCGAGATTGCTCTCAGCTCCGCAGGAGCTTCCCTCCCCCAGCCTGCTGCCTCCCCGCGGCTCCCTGGGGCTCGGGGGCTTCCGGGGTCCCTGCTAGGCAGCTGCTTTGTGAATGAAAACCGGGCTTCTCAGGTGCACAGACCGGCGGCGGCGGCGGCTTCGGCGGCGGCGCAGCGCAGCGCAGCGCGTGGGTGTGTTCCTGGCCGCAGCGCTGCGAGCAGCCTGAGCCGACCGCCTCGCAGGAGCAGCAGCTGTTCCCGGAGAAAATCTCCTGTCATGTTCACTCCCAGAGCATCACAGGTGATACGGTGACTGTCCTGGGGTCTCTGCGACGCGGCTCGGGTGGGGGCGGCCGGCTCGGTCCCAGCTCCACGTTCAAATGGGCTTGGTAAAGAATGTATGAAAATCGATTTGCCCTCATCCCAGTTCCAGGGAGAGGAGCCTGGGCCTTTGCCTAACGCCCAGCTTTGGACTTATACTCATCTTTGCTCCACTTCTGACACTGATGCAAAAGAAAATAATTGCACCCTCACCTCATTCGGTGGCACGCTGTGTGCAAAAGTCATTCACGTGTCGGGGTTCTGGTGGGCACAGAAGGCGACTCTTGGGTAACTTTTTCCTGATCCCAATAACACAGAGCTTATTTTACAGGCTCATCTCATCTTAGATGATTTTAAGAGCGCATTTGGTCTTAACTAGTTTTCTTTGCTTGATGAAATTCTCCAAGAGTTGTCTGCAAGGTCTATAGACACAAAGCATTTGGCTAAAGACACTTGAGTTGAAATTCAGGGGCCGTTTGATCCAGTTTTAGTAAATGATAGAACCGATTTGCTTTGAATTTGATGTTTGAAATAATCTTTTAAGGTAGCATCTTGCACACTGGCAAATTCACCCCAATTCCCCCAGTCCTTCCTGCCCATGCTCCTGTCTTTCTGAGCTATCAATCCACACTTCTTGACAGTGCAGAAAAAGTATCACTGAATTGCCGCAGGACAGTAGGGAACCCACAGTGATTGGTGAGCACTCCTGGGTCAAGGGGGAGACATTCAAACACTGAAACAGAATCTTATTTCTAAATATCAGATTGAAGCGTGTGGCGGGACGGCGGGCCCCGGGACACAGGCGGCAGTGTAACCGTTTGGTTCACTGGACTCTCACTGGGTGTCCTCCCAGGCCTGGTGTTCAGGAGAATGACAGAAAGGACCTTGGGCTTGAGAGAACTTGGGTTTGAAGGAACGGTTCTGTCTTTACGAACGATGGGCCTAGGGCCATCTCGCGCTCGAGCCTGCCAGGGTGCCTCGGCAGCTGTCTGCTTGTGGGTACAGTCCCGTGAGAAGCGGGGTGACTGCGCTACCTCTGAAGGAATTGCCAAAGCCTGGAATTCTCAAATGGAGGCACAGCAGCGGGCTGCTGGGAGCTCAGCTTCCACGCTGCCGGCTCCACGTCTTCTAGCCTCTGTTGGAGCTGTCCCAGAAAAGCAGGTGACTATGGAAAGACTTTTTTTTTTTAAATTTTTAAATAACAAGAGGGATAAAAATTAATGTCATTCCACGAGGCCTGCACATTAAAAGGTAAGAGAGAGTTAGCTGCAGCCTGGTAAATGGCTAAGCAGATTAGTAGCCTTACTTTTTAACATATAAACATCTGAAACCCGTTTCCTGTTTAAGAAAAAAAAAGTCTAGGTGGATGACCTCGGGCACTTTTTTTTGATTAACAAATGCGAATTGTACATCATGGTGGAAAAAAAATGGTCCACACTTGGTGGTCTTTCTACAGTCTGTATATGGGAGAGAGAGAGAAAATACAAAAATAAACGTTACCTTCTCACTTTCAGGGTGGGCAATGCCATTTCCACAGCCGTCCAGGCTCTGGCAAATGTCACGGCTGTCACGGCAGACAGAATCCCCATGGTCTGTGCGCCTCCATCGGGTCCGAAGGAAAACATTCCTCGCATTCCTGATGGAGGGTCCTATCTGCAGGCCTTGGACTCAGCCCCACAAGCTTGTCCCCTAGCAAGTGGCCCAGGCCTCGGCCACCCGCTTCTTCCCAGCCAACCCCGCAGGAAGAGGGCAGACCAGGAAGGACTTGCTGCCTGTGCGCGGATGAGGCAGAGCCGTGCGGCCGGGTCGCCCGGCCCTGGGGCCGGAGCACCAGCTGCTGCACGCTGCCCAGAGGGAGCTCAGAACTTCTGGCGCTTCCGACAACACACATTTTATAGGTTTGGGCTAAAATTTGATACTAGAAGTTGGGAACTTCAATTTTATGTCTCCAAGGATAACAAAAGCAGCTGAGACCTTTAAGAAATGTGTGTGTCCCGTCCACTCAAGAGTTCCATAATAAAAGCTATTTATGTCAAGCACCTTATAAGGGAAAGATTTAGCCTGAATGTCAATATAATATATAATACCTTTTATATTTACATAGTAGGAAAATCTATTATTAACGATACATATTATTTCTGTTTGAACTATTAGCTATGCAGGGGCTTTCACGAATTTAAAGGAAGTATGCCCTGTTTCCATGTACAAATTCATCCAGTAGCCTTTCCCACATTATTTCTGTACAAAGCAAACACCAGTTTACAATGTAAGCTCCTTTACCCAAGTCCTTTCTGATGACTGTGCACTATTTTCTGTTCAATTTGAATCCTGAGATTTCCAAGCGAGCCCTAAGAGGCACCCACTGGCTGCCGTAAGGTGGTGCTTTCTTTATTTTCTGAGAACAGCTTTGGTTCTAGAGAGGACCAGGACTTGGTGGTGATGTGAACGCAACAGCGGCCAGCACAGCCTCACTTGAAGGAGAAGCCACAGCGGCGCCCACGGAGGGTGTCGAGCGGCAGGCTTGCAGAGCAGCTCTGCCTGGCGAGCCCCCGCGACACCACCCTGTCGCCTCTGGAGGAGGGGCCCACTGCCAGCTGGAGGGGCCTGCTGGCCGCACCAGGCACTTGGGAGCAAGCTGCACACCGCCTGCAGCCCTTAGATCAAGCCCAGCCGCTGGCTTCTTATCTCTTTTGCTCAGACAAAGAGCAGAACCGCTGCAGACCCCAATTAGCGAGGCCTGGGGATTCCCACACCACATGTGCGGCTCTGCTGCTCGCCTCTCTCTGACATGGTGGATAGTGTGGCCAGGGGGTCATGAGGAGGCCTGCGGGGCGGTGGCAGGAGTGGTCATCCTGGGGGTCCTGCACTCCCGGCCTGGCCCCTGACATCCACTGCCAGGAAGCGAGGCTCGGGGACAAACGGGACCACACGGCTTCTCACAGGCCTGCTGGGGACATTAGATCCCTAGAGCACAAGGTGAAGTCCCTTTGCCCTGATGCCATGACTGGAGTGGAATGGCTCTGGGGCTGAGGAGATTTTGAAACATAAGTTAATCATGAAGCCTCTCCCACCTCCTCTTGGTCAGCAGACCGTCCCAGCTGCCACGAAGAAGGCTCGCGAAGGGAGCTGAGGGTCTTGTACTCTTGCTCTCCAGTCCCAGCCTGTGTGGAAAACATCTGCCTTCCTCCAAGTGCAGGACAGTGAGCACATTCAGATCGCTCTTATCACCTAAGATTGCTGTATGAGGGCCCCAGGTCCTGCCAGGCCTGCCACAAGCAACGGGATCTTCCACATCACCACCCGTCACTGTCCCTGTCCTTTTACCCTGACACTGACACCACTGACCCTGTTACATGCCATGCTGATGGGGGGTAGGAAGACCAACTCTTGAACAGACTGACACACAGAGAGGCGCAGAGATGATCATGATGGTGGAGGGACCACGACGTGTGCAGGTCCAGGCAGTGCCACCACCTCACATGCAAAAGCCCCCAGGGGGCAGTGCTGCTGTCACCTTCATCCTGTGAGGACATGGAGGCAGGGAGAGGTCAGTGTGGCTGAGGACCAGGCTCCTGGAAAGGCCCAGCTGTCTGCAGAGACAGAGGGGTGAGTGGCCCCGGGCTGTGGCCGAGTCTGCTGGGGGGCACACTCCTACCGCCCAGGGAGTTCCTGCCCTGCCCTGTATCTCTTTATCTGTCCGTAAAGTGGGCTCAGCACTGTCTCCTCTAGGAACTTTCATCATGATTGCATTCAACAGGAAGTGTTTGAAAGAGCCAGGCTCTGGCTGGGGATGCCGTTCCCAATTGCTGACTGGGTGCCGGATGGCAGGCCTTGCTCCGGGAGTCTAGCTGGAAGCTCTGGTCGTGCTCTCAAACTCCAGGGTAGAGAGGCTGTTGGGGTGTTCCCTGAGGTCCCTGCAGCCATAGCTCAGCTGGGCAAATGCTAGCCATGGGGTGGGCACAGCTGGGCAGGGAGCTACAGACACCCCAGGTTACCTGGCACCCCCTGAAAGGTCCTGATGCACCCCGTCATCTGAGTGGCACAGGGGCCTGCCCTTGGCCACCACCCCAGCCATGTTGGACAGCACAGCCCTCAGGAGCCCCTTCTCCTCCCTTCTTGGTCTCCTCCACCACACCCTGCGAGTGTCACGTGGCTATTGCACAACCAGCTGCTGGGTCAACAAACAGCCCGGCATCCCAAAGCCAGCTCCCGGCGGCCTGAGCCTCCCAACGGCGGCCAGCGCCTGGCCAGCCACAGAAGCCAAGTAGCTGGGCTGTGGGATTTTGAGAGCTGGCGTCCGCAGGCCGGGGTAAATCCGGCTTCTGCTCCTCCAGGCTGTGCTTGCCTTCTTAAGACCCGGTTTTCCTGTGTAGGAGAGGGGAGCAGAGGGCCCAAGCACTGGCCCATAGTTCTCAGAAAACACAGGCACTGCCCACTCGGCAGCCCCATAGCAGCAACCGCTGTGTCAGGAGCAGAAATTTGATTTTTAGAATGAGATGGCAACCCTAGAATGAGGAAGGCTGCAATAAGGTGGATCCTGAGGCACTGCCACTGGCAGAGGAACGAACGGCGGCCTTCTGCCAGGAGAAGGAACGCTAGGCTTCCTTTGGCTTCTCTTCTCTCCTGGCCCCTTTACCTGCTGGGAGGAGACCCCGGGCGTGGCGCTTGTGCTTCTGGCCTGCTTCCTTCTGTACTCGCCACCCCTGAGGTCTCCTCCTAATTTTTTTTTTCCCTTTATTCCCAAAGTGAAATCTTCAGGCAGGGAGAGACATCTCCCTTCATGTAAACAAACACACCACTCTGGGGCGCCAGCACACCTTGTATTTATGGGACCCACACGTGCACATGTGCAAAGGTGGAACCTTAGAGAAGAGCTGCAGCCGTGGGAAGCTTCTCTTCTGTGTCACCCCTCTTTACAGGACCAGCGTCTCACCCCTTTTCCCCTGACTCCCCCTGGGATTCTCACTGTGTGCACATAACGGGGGGTGGGGCACGTGGCTCTGTCCTGCACTCCTGCCAGCCCTCCCTGTCCCCAGACACTGATGCCCTTCCGTCTGTCCCTGTGACAGGAGAGGCTCAGCTGCGATGCTTTTCACTGCGGTTTGGCTTGTTTCCTTGGGACAGGTGCCGGGTGGTCATGGAATAGATGCAAAGGGGTAGCTGGCTCCTCATGACCACCGGCGGGCTTTCAGGCCTTATTAGGACGTCCTCCTGCCAGGAGAGAGAAAGCACCGCAAGCCGGGAGTGTCCCCAACAGACCTGGCTGCAGAACCTGAGCTCCTGCTGTCACAGCCTGGGGCACTGTCGCCCCTCTGGCTCTGCAGACAGCCTGGTCTTTCTGCCTTGAGGTCCTCACCTGGGGTCCTTGCCCTGTGCCTATTGGAGGTCGCACTGCATCTGCCTGGACGTCGATTCCTTCCTAACAGGCCTAGCCCTCTGGCGAGAGCAGCTCTCCAGACAGCACAGCTTGGCCAGGCTGTGTGCAGAGGCTGTGGGGCAGAGGGCGCGGCAGGCAGGAGCCAGCCCCAAGCCTGCAGAGCCGCCCAGCACAGGTGCAGGCAGCCTTGGGACCGGGCAGAGCTGCTGTGAGAGCTGCAGGCACGTGGGGGCACTGGCCCACCTCCCGGGGGCCTGGCTAAGTGTGGTGTGGTTCTTGCACTCTGATGAGGCTGAGCTTGCCCCCAGTTCCCCATCACTGGACAGAAGCAAGCAGAGTGGTCAGGGCGTGGCATAGGTGGGCCACAGATTTGCCCTCCCTGGGAAAGAGGCTCCTCTTCTCTTAGCCTTGTTTGAGAAGCACATGGAGCCTGGCTCCTAACTTCTCCTGTGCCACCACAAAAGCACAGTCCACAGAGGGCAAGGGGTTCAGCCGGGTCTGCCGAGTGAAGTGAGCGCGATGGTCCAGCCCTGAGTCCTGCAGACTCAAGGCTGCTGGAAAACCTTTCTCAGCTCCAGTGTTACAAGCTCACACTGGCCAGCCTGGCCCTGAGAAGGAGCGTGTGGTGCCACCCCGGTTGTGGACTGGTGGTGGGCAGAGGGCAGAGCGGAGCCGGGCGCTCATCCCAAAAGGCAGGCAAGCTGTATGCGGGCTGGCAAACGGGGTGCACCAGGGAATCCCGCCGCCCATCATCCTGGCTATTTGCAGGAAGGGGCTGCCAGACACGAGCCATAGGCGTGCAAGCTGTGAGCGCCATTCAGGGTCACGATGCTCTCCCAAAGGCATCAAGGGAGGGGCAGGAAGCAGCCATCTCTAGTGCAGGGACCAGTGGGTTCTGGGCCTCGTGTGGCTTCACCCGAGGGCTCCACGAATGTAAAGACCGCGGGGCTGTGTGTGGGGCCCTATGCGCTCTGCACATTCCTGTGTGCGAAGCCAAACTTCAGTTAGAAAGGAAAAAATTAGAACCTGAAAAAGATAAGCATGTGCTCCGGGTCACATAGCTGGTGAGGCACACGACACAGGAGACGTCAGGAAGACTTGCTGGGAGGTGACTGGCAGAGCAAAGGACATGTGAGGGACACAGACACGGACACAGTCACCACACTGGGCGGCTCTCGGCGTGGCGCGTGGTGCATCAGCGTTGCACTCATTTGAGCTTCTGTGGGCACCAGGAGGGCACCAGACTCTGCCCAGTGCCCACTGTGGCCTGTGGGGCCATGCCAACTGGGGCGTGGGAAGACGGCCCTGCCAGCTCACGGGACACCTCCAAGGGTCTCCAGGTCACCAGGAGGGCTGGGAAAGCTGCCTGCATGGATCAAGTCAAACCCTAAGCAAGACACACAAATGTAACAAAAACCTAAATTGGTGCTCAACTGTAAAACACACCCCATGAAGCTCTTTCTCTTTGTTGCATCAGATATTGGGCTGGTCGTTCCAAGTGCAGTAACAGGTTTCTTTCTCTGGAGGAACATGGGAAGCGATTCTTCCTGCCGAGCTCACTCAGGTGGCCCCGGAAGCTGGACAGAAACTGGCTTCCAAGGGGAAGTGAAGGGTGCTGACTCAGTTTACCCTTCTGGGATTGTAGAGATTCTAGGAGTTCTTGGGTGAAGCCACACAAGGTGCGGGCAGACAACAGGGAGGGGAAGGGCTCCCCCAAAACCTCCCTACTGTCCTTCATCCCCTACACCCCGGTTTTGGCCTCTATGAACCAAATGTGAACGGAACTTTCCAGCAAAACCACTTCTTCCATGCTGTGGTAGGCTTCTCCTTGTCCTGTGTCATAGCAATGTTATTTCCTCTTATTATAAATAGGAATTTTGCTCAAAGGGTGCAGCCTTGTACCCCCTTGGCCGCTTTGTACTTTAATCAGGGTTTTCCTGCCCAAAATGTTTATCTTCCAGCAGAGGTGCTAATTTTATCTTGCAAAAGTGGATATCTGCTTACATCCCTTCTACCTTGGAGAAAGATAACCAAAGGCGAGGTACGTCATCTAAATACAGCATCCTCGGAGATCAAAAGGCATAATGTACACATCTGCCAGATTTGATGGAGCGGCCATTGGCGGCGCTTCCGCCCGGCCCGCATGGCCTCGCTGATAGACCTGCTCCGCCAGGCTGGGAAGGCGACTCCGGCACTCTGTTTGTGCCAGCTGATCCCAACGATACCAAGAGGGTTGGAAACGGGAAGCCAAAATAGAAATGCCCCCTCACCCCTCCTCGGGTCCCGCGCCACAGGAAATGGCACCCGTTCAAGTTTTCATCGTGGAAGCGGCGAGGGACCAGATAAGCAGTGGGCTCCTCACGGTGCCGTTCTGTGTGTAGAGCCCCGTCCGGATGACCATGGCCCAGCGCCACCTGAGTGCCAGCCTGCTTCAGCCCCGAGCTTCGAGCTCCTTTCTGTCACAAGCATGCCCACCCTGACATGGCACACGCACGCACACGGGCTTGTACACGCATGTGCACACACCTGCTTGAAGCAGAGGTCCTCTCTAACGTGCACCCTACGCTGCTCTGCGAGTCCCTTTCCCAACCAGCTTGACAGCTGGTCCCCGCTGGGGATCCACAGGGTGACGCTACTCTTGACGACCTCCCTCAAGGTGCATGCCCTGTCTGGCTCGTCTTTCTGATTGGCTCATGCCTGGTCCAGTGAGGCCTGTGTGAGTTAGTTCAGTGACGGTGGTAGCTGGGGCCCAGCTCAGTGGTGGCACAACTACAGTTCGGCCGGCCCAGCTCAGCAGCACCACAGAGCCCAGTGTCTAGGACGGAGAGCGTGACCATCTTGGCAGGGTTCTGCTGCCAAGGCACTTTCTGGGCACACCTCAGGGTCAATCCCACCCCGCTTTTCCCCGAGACCCTCTCCTCCACACAACAGGTCCCTGGATGCTGAGAAAATGAACCTCCAGCCTGACTGCAAGGTTTGTGACAGAGTGGCAGTGATGCTCCAAGGTGGCAGCAGGGGGCATCCCTGCATGCCCGGTGCCCTGGCCTGCCTCGGTGTGAACTGCCTTCACCCAGGGACTTGGGTCACCAGGGTCGTTGGGTTTGGGAGACCGGGTACAGAGGAGGACCAGGGCAATCAGGTGTCAGGTGAGCAGAGGCACTCATCCCTCCGAGGATCAAAGTTGAGAATAAAATAAAACATGCCCAAACACCCTGGGCACCCTCCTGGGGAGGCTTGGGACGGGGCTTCGAGGAGGATGCTGTGGAGGAGCCTGTGGCAGCAAGGGTCCATGCCCTCAAGGGGGGGACCCACTGCGAGCCTCTGTCCCCACAGCGCTTGGAAAACAGTCCCAAGCAGAAAGAGACAGAACCAGCCATCTGTAATCTTGCCACTTTGCTCGTGCGATTCCAGCCTCTCCAAGCCCTCCTGGCTGTTTTCTGACTGAGGCACAGGTGGGCGCGTCTTTCTGGAACGGGCTGGAGGTCACATACTGGTGACTCTGCAGCCACAAGGTGTCGATGTGCGTATTTTGTGTGTGTGCCTATGGGCGTGTGCGAGCAGGTGTGTGCTCTAAAAATACAGCAGGGGATTGTGACTGTGGCTCAGTGTCAAAGCATTCACCTGGCACGTGGGAAGGCCTGGGTTCCACCCATAGTGGGGGAGGGGGTGTGCGTACACACACACACACACACACACACACACACACACGAGGGAACCTGTCTGCAGGGGCGGAGGGCAGGCATGAAGAACCCAGGGCGGAGAAGCGGGCTACGGGCACCGCTCACGCTGTCTGCACCTCTGAGCGTTTCCACCCACGCGTTCCATCGCCTCTGAGCAGGCGCGTTGGTGCCTGCAGCGGTCCCTGCGGGCTTTCCTCCTTGTCCTGTGCAACCCATCAGCTAAAGCACTGAGGCCCCTCCAGCTGCGGAACTCGCTGCAGCTCTCACCCACAGAGACCCGAGCCAGAGTCGGTCTCCCAGCGGGGCGGGGCCAGGCCAGACCCGGCGCCCACGCAGAGCCTGCGGGTGAGCTGGGGAGCCCCGCCTGCAGGGCCTCCTACCGCAGCGATGACGGCTGGTGACGGCGCAGGCCTTGGGTGCTGTCACTCGGGGTGTGTAGCTGTGGAGTGCGCTACGTGCCGTGTGTGGCGTATGTGTGGGTAGGTGGCGTCAGGGCGAGTGTGGGTATGTGTGAACAGGGCCCTCTTCACCGTTTATACCTAGGTGACCCCGAAGCTCACGCACTCGTAGGTGGGGCTTGGGGCACTTGGATCGCGGGGCATTTACAGCCGAAGGTGACGTCAGGAGCTGGAGCCGGCTGGAGGAGACCGTCGTGGGGGCGCCGCCTGCAAGGGCCCTTCTCCACCTCCGCCCTCCTCGCGCGCGTCCTGTCCACCGTGGCCTGCGCAGCATCCTCGCCAGCCCGCTCCACCAGGCCTCCCTGCCTTGGAGCGGGCCGAGACCACAGACTGAGCCCTCTGCAGGCCGTGAGCCAAAATAAAGCCCTCTTCCTTTAATACATGCGTGTTGGGCATCGTGTCTCAGGGACAAGTCGCTGAAACGCCCTGCTTTGGGGACGCAGGCGCGAGTAGGAGCCAGCCCCCAGGCCCCGCGCAGCCCGCAGACAGCTCCACACTCTGCGCCTCGGAGATTAAAGTGTTGCCACCCCCCAAGAGCCCTTGGACCTCCACGTCTGTACCAGCCTGCTGGTGACGTTCTGGCTAGATTTTTTAAAATTGTTCTTATTGAGGTAAAATGTATTTACAATAAAATGTACAGTTTTAAATTTGGACAAATGTGTGTGCCAGGCAACCAGAGCCCAGATAGAGATGCTGTTTGTTGAGTTCATGTATTTCACGTCAGACAAATTCCCTCCCACCTTTCCCAGTCAGTCTTCAGGCAACTGCTGACCTGATTTCTGTTGCTGCAGTTGGTTCCACACGCTGCCGACCCTCACACGAGACAGTGGCTCGCACAGGCCCTCAGCGCTTGCGCCTTCCACGCAGAGCGTGCCCAGCCCTGGCTCGCCGCAGGTGCTAGAGCTGGATTCCTTCTCACTGCTGAGCAGAGTTCCACCATATGCACACACCACAGCGCGCTTATCCACTAAGCTGCCAAGGGACACGTGGCTGTGTCAGCCCTGTAACCGTATAAATGAAACTGTTCGGAGGCACGCGGAGCCGACTCCACGTGGACACGCGTCTACCTGAGCCTGCAGGACGCCGGGCCACCCAGTAATGCTACGCCAAACTGGGTACAAAGCTGTCAGACTGCTCTCACGGTGGCTGGGCCACTCCACACGCCCACAGCGAGGAGGAGGGTGGTCACTGCTCCTCACCTTCTCCGAAACCTGATAGTTTCCATCTTTTTACTGTTTGCCATCCTGAACATTGAGCTGTCGATGTTCTTCACATAATTTAGATACAAGCTGTTCCCCAGACACATTGTGAAAATTTCTTGCAGGCTGGGGTTTGATTTTTAATTTTTCATAGTACTGTTTCAAAGAGCAAACTTTAAATTTTAATGAATTGCAGTTTATCAAGTTTTCGCTAGTTAGCTTTTTTTTTTCTATTAAGTTTAAGAAATTTCTGACTGGATTAAGTTGATGGGGATATATTTCTAAGGTTTTCTAGAAGTGTCATAATCTCCGCTCTTAAATTTAGATATTCTGTGTGTGTTACATCAACTTGTGTACGCAGCGTGAGAGGGACCAACGTCACTATATTCCGTGTGAATAGCCGCGTGCCCTTTGCCAGGCTGTAGAAGTTCCCTCTTCATTCTTATTGGTTGAGCAATGAATTTTGTCAAATGTTTTCTCCATACCCACATCATACAAGGAAATACTAACAAACATGAAGAAAATATTGAGGATAATCGTAGGATAGGACTGTCACGGGAATGACAGGAAGACTCCTTATCTTTCAGCGGATTCACTGCCCCCACGGCTACAAGCTTGTGCAAGTCGGTGGCACTGGCAGCTGAGCAGCATGGTGCATTCCTCTCCTGCCTTCCTGGAGTCACTCCTCGGCCTCTGCTGCCTGCGTCACACCAGGCCTGCCTGGCCAGCACACCATAAGGTCAGCCCTCACAAGCTTGCAGTAAGGGTCCCGACAGAGACTCTCTTCTCATCTACACGAGGGGGTGTCTCCAAAAGCTCCTGCCACTTGGACCTGCTGCAAGGGTTGAAAGAACCACGGAGAGGCTGCCCTGAGCCCCGCCCACATGGCAGGAAGTCACTCCACGAGGGGACGCTGAGCCAAGCTTCCAGTCTAGGGCTACAGCCCTTGGGCTTTATCACCTGGCTGTACAATCTCGGCTTCTCCCCGAGCCCCAGGCCCAGTCCAGTCCAGCATAGACCATCTCTCAAGTAAATAAACTATTTTCATTAACAATCTTCTCCAACCATGAGGATCAGAGGAAAGGCTGAGTCCCCATGGCACTGGCCCCTGGGCACCACAAGGGGAAGGGCTCCCAGCCTGGGGGCCAGGTGTGGTTCGTACCCTGCCTGCTGCTCACTATTGCTAAGCTTCTCTCACATTCTCGATGTTCCGCAGGCCTCCTTTCTGTCTGATTGGAAGCACTGACCCTCACCTCCACCTCTTCCTTGTCTGGCGAGTACCGCTTGCCCTCCAGGTCTCAGCTTAAACATTACTTTTTCAGGGGCAGGGATATAGCTCAGCAGCCCAGCACCTACCTGGCAAGCATAAGGTCCTGAGTTCAAGTCCTGGTACCAAAAATAAATACATAAATAAATATTGCTTTCTCCTGGGTACTCCTCCTGGGTCCACCAGATGCTCTTAGAAC